TCCCTTTTTTCAGTTGTTCTGGCTCCTCGCTTGTGTGTGGGTCCATGGGAACCCTATTAGTGGTCTTGCTGTCCTGGGGGCCACCAAGGCCCTCTTCTCTCCTGCTGCCTCCAAGCCACTCCATCTGGAGGGCACAGCTGCGGATTCTGCCGGCTCCTGCTCCATGTGCTCATCACCTCGAGCCTTAAAGCAGCCACGGCCCGAAACGCTCAGAGCAGCTTTTTCTTTCTCTCATTGTAGTTTCTCCTGCCTTCATGAACTCCATAGGTCTCTCCTCGCCTTCCCCTGACCTCCAGCAGTCCTGGCTTGGCTGATGTTACATTTTTATAGTTGTAAATTGGTTGATTTGTGGGAGAGAGTGATGTTGTGGACCGTCTATTCTGCCATCTTGATTGGATCCAACCTCTTCTTTTTTTTTAAAGATGACCGGTAAGGGGATCTTAACCCTTGACTTGGTGGTGTCAGCACCACGCTGTCCCAAGTGAGCCACGGGCCGGCCCTACCTTGGTTTTTTTAAAAAGAGTTTTTTATACTGATGTGTAAATCTGCAAACATTTTTGAACAAGTGTGAGTAAAATTAGGTATATACCAGTGCTTGTTCAGAATACTTAAATGATCTGGGAGTTTGATACTTTGCTTGTGGAAGTCAATTTAGAGGTTAATAAAAAAATTGCCACATTGATGACTGTGTCATTTAAAAGCTGTTCCGTTTTTATGCGATTGAACCTCAATTGCCTCCCCCCCCCAATTTTTTATTGTAGCCATTGAATAGAAATTCTGTGACAGCTATAACTAAAGTTTTTGTGCCAACTTATGTACTATGATAATTTACGTGATTAAAGAATGATGGTAATAAAGTTTTTTTCCCCCTTTTAGCTTTAAATTACTTTCATAGTAGCAGGCTCATTGCCATTTCTAGTTATTTCATAAATAGGTATCTTTTGATCTTTAATTCTGCTTAGTAGACCTTTATAAAGTGTTACTTGAGATAAAGATGATCTGTTAATTATTGAGATAATTGCAATAATGGATCTGAGGAAGCAAATCAACAGTGAAACATTGTATCATTGATAAAAGTAATTCAGATTATAATTGTGCCCTTTCTATGTTTATTTCTGTTGGTAAAGGACATATGTATGAAATGTTTAACTTTTTGGAAAAATTTGTCAAAGTGGATTCTTAAACAAATTTTCTTTATTTTATTTTATTATTCACTGCTTTTTAATGTATTCACAGAGTTGTGCAATCATCACCACTACCTTATTTTAGAATG